AGCGGTGCCCAAAAAAGGGTTTCATAGCGCAAATTTGGACTAAGAGAATACATGGAACAGGTCGCAGCAAGTGTAATTGCTATGATCTTCGATTTTTCTAATTCTACCTTAGCTTGCTCTATTTTTAAGAAAAGGTGAGCAATAAAATATCTTGGGAGGAGGGGTGGGTGGGGGTAGATTTTGTAGTCATCATGTGTGGATCATCATCAGGGAGTGTTTTGAACACTGACGGTGTTCAAATACCGGCCACCATATAATACGCCATGTAATCATGACTGTAATGATAGTCGACTACCTTCCTTCAATAATTGCCAGTCGGCACCTATAAAAACCCTTAAAAATGACTGCGTCTTGACTATTTATCACCCATTGGAAATATACCTATAAAATCATTTATCTTCTTGGCATCAGTGTTGGGCATTTACTCGAGTAAATGTCCAACGGTGACGTCACGAGTGTTCACTCTTAGAAGCTTCACCATCAGTAATTTTGAAAATTACTCATGAAACATTTTTCCTTCATGAATAAATGACTCGTGAAAAATGTTATCTCCATGAGTAAATCACTCATGAAAAATTTTAACGTCATGAGTGATTTTGAAAACAAAATATGTTTTTATTTTATTTAATCTAATTTTTTTTGTCACCTTTCGGATTTAATCTATATCAGGGTCGACTATTATGTTTTGGGGGAGCTTTTTATGAAAATGATATCGAATTTGAGATTGGGCCCCCCACGCCTCCACTTTTTTTAACTTTACAAATTTTCATGAAAAGCGCCTCCCAAAACATAACAGTCGACCTCGATGTCAAATTAATCCAAAAACTTACAAAATGTCGAGGTCCGGGGGGCCAATCTTAACATCGACAGCATTTACATAAAAAGCGCCCCCGAAAACATAATAGTCGACCCTGATATTGATTTAAACCGAAAAGTCACAAAAAGTCCAAGCCCAGGGGGCTCAATCTCAAAAGCGACAGCATTTTCATAAAAATCGTCCCCGAAAACATCATAGTCGACCCAGATATCGATTTAATGGGAAAAGTTAAAAAAAGTCGAGGCCCGGAGTGCCCAATTCTAAATTCGATATCATTTTCATAAAAAGCTGCCCCAAAACATAATAGTCGACCATGATACGGATTTAATCCGAAAAGTTACTAATAGTCGAGGCCCGGGGGGCCTAAACTCAACAGCATTTTCATAAAAAAACATCCTCCAAAACTTAATAGTCCACCCTGATATGGATTAAATCCTAAAGGTGACAAAAAAAATTAGATTATATGAAATAAAAAACATTTTTTTTTTAAAATTACTCATGGCCTTAAAATTTTTCATGAGTGATTTATTCATGGAGATAACATTTTTCACGAGTGATTTACTCCTGGAGGAAAAATGTTTCATGAGTAATTTTCAAATTTACTCATGGCTAAGCTTCTAAGAGTGATCACTCGTGACGTCACCGCTTGACATTTACTCGAGTAATTGCCCAATACTGCTTGGCGTAAAGTTGAGAAAAGGCTTTAATGTAACCCCTCATTTGGACAACCAAGGAAATAGGGTGGCTCTAAGCTTGAATAGAGATGACTTGAATATATAATGGGAAGACACCTTTTGGGATATCATACGAAAACATTTAATGAAGTGATACTAGGTATTCTGAGGTAAGTGTCTTCTGTATGGTTCAAGAACCTCTCATATTGAGAGAAGTGCATTTAGCCGATGGCAATGCTGAGAGTCACTCAGTCTTACCTCTCCACTTCATTCTGTGGAATGATGACCCACATGCTTGTATGTGCATAGCTCCAATAAAAACCTTAAAAATGACTGCGTCCTGACTATTTATCATTCATGATTGTAATGACAGTCGATTAATTTCCTTCAATAATTCTGTATACTTTCTGGATTTATGAAGGATGGTCTCTCTATCTTTCCTCTCAGGAGGATGCCCTCATTCCTCATACTGTACTGCTTCCTTTATTATTCTCATCAGTTTTACATGTTATTGTTTTGATCGTAAACAATTAAAACTTTGAATGCTTTAATGTTCACCAATAATAAATTGGTAATAAGTTCAAAATTGGCATTATCACACACCCTTCCCCCATCATGGCCTGAAATTAGGGTTAACGCTATAATATATTTAGTTTGCAATTAAGAAACATGAGATCCTGACTAATGCTGAATATTAGTACTCCTTAAGTAAATAATTAAGAAACAAATCTACCATGATTGATTCGTAATTACTCATATATTCAAAAGTTCTGATGAACCCCAGCTTCCTCATTTCCAAAATTACCTCTTTTAGAGTAATTAATCCTATTTAATGTTCAGATGGCCAATAAGAAATATTTTTTATGTATACATTCTTTTATTATCATAGAAAACATTTATATTTCGCATGTGGTTACTTATATTTAAAACATTTTGGAACGAACTGTTTCTTTTATCTTCTTTTTTACTTTCACTTACGTATATATGTAATATATAGTAAGAGTAAGTATTGCGATCGAGAAAATTTTTGAATCTGAGTTTTCAACGGAAATAAACGTTTTGGGGTACCCTGAGTCGAAATGACCAAGTCCCGAAAAATGGTCTGTGTGTTTGTATGTTAGCAGTCTAGCTCAAAAACGAAAAGTCCTACGAAACTGATATTACGTATTTAAGATAGGTATATGCCTCAGATATGACGGCAACTTTTTCCTTAAAATCGGGTAACCGGAAGTGCCAGTTTATTTCTACGCTGAAAAACATTTCCACAATTTTCTCAAAAACGGCTCTAACAATTTTGATTAAACCTAGTGTATCATTGTATAATTAAGTGGTCTTTAATATCAATTAGGTCTTATCACCATTGATGTCACTTTACTGGGCTTAAATGTCCAATGTTCATATACGTCTTCCTCTAAAGTACATTAAATATGGTTTATTTTAAAAAGTTAATCATTTCACATTATTCAAAGTAATGAAAAAATGCTAAATATAACTTTTGAAAGAATTTGATCAGTTAATAAAAGAAAAAAAAAATGCAGAAAAACCTGTGTTGCTATAGACTGTAGCGCCTAAACTAAACGAATGTACCGATTTCAAAGAAACTTAGCTAAAGTCATTTTCTGGACACCCTTTAAATTTATCTATATAACATTCTTCAACGAAAAGAAGCTGGAAAAAAAGTTACGAGCGATGGTAAAATTAAATTCCGAATAACTCAAAAAGTATACACTTTTTTGGGGATATTGTGATAAGATGTTTCAAAGGTATTTAAATTGTCTAAAAAAACAAAAGAAGTTTCATCGAAATGGAAGCACTATTAGTAGAGGTATCGCGATGGTTTTTTAAAAGTTCATGGAATTTCTTTAAAAAAACAAATAAAATCGGACAATTAGGAGGAAAGATATGGTCTCTAGTTCTTTTCCCTGAAGAGGCGAAAATTTGGATAAATTTAAAATATACTATTTTAATTGTTGAGACTAAAAAAAAACTTTTTTCTACAGATATTTAATAACGTATCTTTCCTAAATACATTTTTCATAAGAAATAAATACCTAAATTTATACCTTTATTTTCAGTTCTATATTTCAACACTGCGATCACCACCTCCGGAATCAACTTACTCATATTCTGCATAGATAACTTTTTAAACTAAAAATATCACTAAAATGACATCACTTAAAAATGTTGAAATTGGAGTTAGTCATTATGTGGTTTATAAAAGCAAAGAAAGTTGTGTGGTTTATAAAAGCAGATGGAGTGACTAGATTTTTATTGCCTGTTGTCGACATATTAAATAGACATTTTGTAATTATAATGGTCTTAATGAATTGTTATCTTTAAGCTTTAGCTCCGTTTAAAATGCACTTCAAAAAATTTTATAATAGCCCAGCATTGCCAGAAAATAATTTCTATTCAAAGTAGATCGGTAAGTGAAAGTTGTGTGTTGAGCGCACCAGATTTTTTATTATATTTTATCATATTATTTATTAAAAGATTGCCAATGAAAAACTTCCATTGTAATTTGCTAATGTTATATTTCATATCATATCTTGCTGACGTTTCGGGATTTTTTTTCTATCCTTTTTACTACTTTTATGTTTAGCTATGTTATTTCTTTAATTACTCCTCACTTTTGTAGTTAGTGAATGGTGTAGTTAGTCCATAGTTTATTCAAGGTTGGAAAATAACTTCACTTGTTTAGTGCTGCCTAAATTTTTGCTTGACGGTGATGTCAATGTATTTTTTTAATTTATTATTTTAATTGGGAGAATGACTACATTAATTCTGATATATGTATATATATATATATTCTTAGGCCGGTAGCTTATCTTGTTTATATTCAGTCGATTGGTCAATAGTTTATACTTAAATTGTTGCCGTAGACTTGGCAATACACAGTCTAACTCCGTCCATCACCGAGTTCAGTCCTGTCAACTGCTATACTGCCCACTGCAGTGCATCTTTGAAGAAGACGTTCTCTCTCTCGAGCCATGCAGTTCGATTAGAGCACTTAATGAATCCACATAAAGTAGTTTAAAGAATAGATCGTTAGCGGTTCGTACACCGTTACGAACGTTCTGCTTGAATCCACGTTACATTGTATCAACTTATTATTTTTTTGGTTTTGTATAAATTTCAACATTGGGTCAGTCGTATCAATTCTGTTTGTTTTATTTATTTTAGTAGGCTTTTCATCATTTTTTTTTATTATTAATATTTCTTAAATATCAAGGTTTTCATTTATATAGAATTATTATTTTATTTATTGGAACAAGTGTGAAATTGATTTAATTATTTTTTTTTAAATCTTTTCATTATTAATATGTGTAAATGTTTTAAAATAAATGTTCAAGCTATAGAGTCCACTTTTTTTTAAATATTACAATTGACTTATTCAGATCATAGTTATTAGTTATCGAAGTTTGATTCAAACTAAGAGGGAGCTTCTTAACAGCGTTCATACTTGTTTAGTGTTTTTTTTTTTTAATATTGATCTTATCGTGGTCCAGGTATTTGCCATACGTGTGGAGAGAAGGTAACCGGAGCCGGGCAAGCTTGCCAAGCTATGGGCAACCTCTACCACACAAACTGTTTCATCTGCTGTTCTTGCGGACGTGCGCTAAGAGGAAAGGCATTCTACAATGTCCATGGCAAAGTCTACTGTGAAGAAGACTATCTGGTAAATTACTTTTATTTTTTAAGATATTACAAGTATGTAAGTAAGTTGTTTAACTGAATAGCTCTAGTGAGGTGTACTGTATAGGGGACCCTACACGGTAATTCATGAATGAAAGTCACAAGAATGACATAGATTGCTCGGGATCGCTTTGATCATGAAGACCCCCTACACGTTCAATCATTACTGATCATTGCTGAAGCCAATTTATCTAACAAAGAAACAGCATAAATAAGCTTATTTTGACATTGTCCTTTATAATATTGGACATCAAGAGAAAAACGGAGATATAATAATTACTTCCTAGTGCCTGAAAATCGTTTAGACCAAAGTTAGAAAAATATAAGTCAACTACTTAAAAAAATTTAGGACAAATATTGCGAAAATAATCAATTTTTTAAGAAAAATTATAAAATTAATGACTAATAAACACAACAGTTAAAGATTTGTTTTCTATAAGTAAATTGTGAAGTTTCCTTTTTTTTTTTTTTTCTTCAATTTATTGCCTACTTGACTATTTAAAGTAAAAATAGTTGAAAATGGTTAATAAAAATATAAACTAGGGATATAAACAACTATTTACTTTTATGAAATTATTTACTTAAAAATGAGATCTAGGTACCCTATCTAAGTAGTAAGATTAGTCTCATAGAAAATGGTTTTGACAAAAGTTAGTAAAATATAATGAAGAGAAGAATAGTTGGGGTGTTCAGTCAAAAAGGAAGGCAAAAATAAATGATAATATTTATTTTTTTGTTTTTTACATATGCCGACGTTTCGACCTGAAGTTCAGGCCTTCATCAGGGCTGTCTCCTTAAGTGTCGCAGGGAGAATCAATTAGTAGTATTAGTATTAGTAGTATAGTAATATTAGTATTAGTAGTATAGTAGTATTAGTATTAGTAAAATATAAGTCTACTATTTACAAAAATTAAGGAAAGGTATTGCGAAAATAATAAATTTATTGAGAAAAATGGGAAAAGAACTGACAAATATACACAACAGTTAAAGATTATTTTTTTATTTAAGTAAATTGTGAAGTTTCCACTTTTTTTTTTCAAATTTGTTGCCCACTTGACTATTTAAAAGAATTACTTGAAAATGGTTCATAAAATATAAAAATAGTTGAAGATGGTTCATAAAATATATACAAGGGATATGAAAAATTATTTAACTATTCACTTTTAATGGAAATCAGAAATTTATTGGGCCTCCATATATACCATCTTGTTTTTTCTGATGATGCTTGAAATTTTGACTGTTTAATTGGTTAGTTATATATTTCCAAGACTGTGTTTCGAATTTTCCATTTACATCCTTGCTCATGATAGTGGACATTCAAATAATCATAATTTTCATTTAAGAAGAACGATTTTTTTCTTTTTTTCGCCTGATAATATGCTTTATAAATTAACATTGCTCATTATTTGATTAATCTCATTATTCTGATTTCCTTTAATTTTGGTTAAAAAAAAATAACTGAGGTGTGTGCTTTAGATTACACGATAGAAATGGAAACATCAAGGCGCACTAGCGAATTCAGCCGGGGGCGCGTCCTCCCCCCTCCCGGGAATCGGGAAAAAAATTCCCCTTAACTGGGCCAAATATCCTCCGAAGGATCTTCCTTTCGAAAACTAATATTTTAAGCTGCTGTTTAATGAAAAGAGAAATACAGGGAGAATTTATCCTCATAGACGAATTTTCTAATGAGATATCTAAACAAAATTATTATCGTGACCAGCTCTAGCGAATTCTGTAAGGAGGCGGCCCCCTCCCTGGATGGCGGACAAAAAATTCAGAAAAAGTTTCAAAAAGCAGCTGTTTAATTAAAGAAAAGAGCGATGTAGTTTTTGGGCCGCCGTAAGATGGGAAGGCTTGTGCTCCTGTCGCAGTTAGTTCCTATTGACTCCGATCTGAGTCTCGCAGGTGAAATACACGATGGAGGAAATTTTATTTAAAAAAAAAAAATGAACTTCATTTATTCTTTCGAACAACTTTTAAACACAAAAATATACGTTTTTTTTCCGGAATCCAGTTTTCGTTCAGTTCCAATAGATCTGGACGCATTGCAACCTCCAGCAGCTATAGTCTTCTTGAAGAATCCATGCGATTCATAAAACTGGTCACCATAACAATTTGTATATTTCTCATTAGAAAGTGTTTTTTTTTTTTTTTTCTTAAAATAGGAACGTTTTCATGAAGGAAGACATATAAATAATAATAAAAAGGCTTAGCGAACCCGAAGGTTCGATGCCGACACCACCAATCGCTTATTACACACCTCCCTCCACCGTTCGCCGTCCAGACCCAGTCCCTTCAGATCGGCTTTAATGCAATCTTCCCACCTTCGCTTCGGTCTGCCCCTCGGACGCTTACCATTCGGCACAGCAAATATTAACCTTTTAGGAATTCTCTCGTTACTAAGTCCAACAACTTTACAAGCCCATTTGATTCGCCGCGATGAAATTACCTCAATTATATTACCCGGATACAGTCCACGCAATTCGGCGTTGTGTAACCGTCTGAACTCTCCGGTTAACTCATCCTTCTTCGGTCCGAATATTCTACGCAATACTTTATTTTCAAAAACCTTAAGACGCTGCTCATCCCTTAATGTAAGCGGCCAAGTTTCGCATCCATAAAGAACTGTAGGCAAGATAATTGTTTTATAGATTCTAATCTTTAAGTTCCGGGACAAGAGGCGCGAACTAAGTAGTTTTGTCACAGAAAAATAACAAGCATTTCCCGCCTTCAGTCTAACCTTAATTTCTTCTTCAATTTCGTTTTTTCTAGTTATCGTAGAACCTAGATACCTAAATTCGTCTACCTGTTCAAACATATTACCATCTATATCGATATCGCCATTTTTGCAGCTAACCATATATTTTGTTTTATCCACGTTTATTTCGAGTCCTAGTTCTTTACCGGCTTTCATTAACGTTGTCGTATTTAGTTTTATAGTTTCAACGTCTTCGCTTAACAGTACCAGATCATCAGCATAGCCCAGCACGGATGTTGTCCCTTCCAGATCCAACCCTTTCGCGGTACGTATTACCTCCCTAATGGCATGTTCTAATGCCAAATTGAACAGGACAGGCGAAAGGGAATCCCCCTGTTTTAAACCCGACCGAACTTCAAATTTTTCGAACAGATTATTACCGATTCTAACTTTATTGAGTGTCTCCGTCAAGCACATCCTGACTAGATTTACTAGTTTTTTTGGAATCCCCTGCTCGATTAGAATATTATACAGTTTCTGGCGGTCAATAGAATCGTAAGCCTTTTTAAAATCTACATACAGCTGGTGAACAATACCGTTGTACTCCAATTTTTTCTCTAATATTTGCCGTAAAGAAAATATTTGATCAATAGTCGAACGATTCCGTCTAAATCCGCATTGGTAGTCTCCGATAATTTCCTCGGCGTATTCCGTGATTCGACTGGTTAAGATTAAAGTGAATATTTTATAACATACCGGAAGTAGTGAAATTTCTCGATAGTTATTACAATCCGTCCTCGGGCCCTTTTTGTGAATCGGAATAAGAATAGATTCTTTCCATTCATCAGAAGGAAGACATATAATAGGAATTATTGGGTCTCCGATTATGATCGAAATCGGGAATTATTCTGAGTTTTTTTGTTCTTAGAGAACTCATTTTCAAGCTGTTAGGCCATTTATAGTAATCTTTCTCAGATTTTGACTGGATTTAGAATGGATTGTCGGTGAAAATTAGCGGTCATTGACCGTGGTTATCGACCATATCATTTTATCAAAATATTAAGTTCAGGTATTCGCTCTGCTCACAATTTGACGTTCCTTAATTTCTTAAAGAATACGTTTTCGCTTTGATGCACCGTTTAGTATTAATACATGGGGGAAAAAAAGATCAGATAAATCTCGATTTTCTGGCTGTAAAAAGTTTTCTCTCTGTGACCCCTGTTAGAAATTTTTTTTTTTACTTGTCTGAACCCATACACAGGGTATATCATATGTAGGGGGAAATATTTATAGAGGTGATAGCACAATTCAATAAATACGAATTGTTTATTTAAACAATGGTTAGTTTTTTAGCATGAAAGTAGGGAATTAAAGTTTTGAACTTTAAGGTGGATTTCATTTCAATTCTATTTCGATAATGGTTTAGTAAATAAAGACTTGGAGGTAATGTAATAATAATTTCTTTTTCTTTTTTTTTTATTATTTTAATAGAATTTACAACTGTATTACATAGAAAATACAATAAGTAAATGTGAAATTGGTAACATGACATGTACAACATGAAGAGAAACTACCCATTGGTAGAACTCAAATTAAAGTTCTATAATCCCGAGGCCATCTTCTTTTCAGACGCCTCGGAGGGTTATCAGGGATCGAGGAGGAAGCAAGGTTTGAAACGAGAGGATTCGGATGGTTCTGCAGTTTGTTATGGAAGGACAGGTATCTGGATTGGGCCAAATCGGAAACATATGGAACATTAAGGTCTTTATGGATGATAATAATAATTATGAATATCTCTCCTAAGCAATTACTTTTTTCAAGAGTTCTTCCTACTTTTTTCATCTACATTGCTTTATCATTATAACATTATTTATTCCTGAATTTTCATCCTTTTCAGTCTTTAACTGGCATAATGAATGCATATGGATAGGATTCTGATACGTGGGGAAGTCTGTATATTAGTGTAAGCTTCTTATGTCTGTTGGTCTGCTTCCTTGTTTCCATGATAACACGATCGAGTATACCTTGTCAACTGATTTACTTATTGTATTTTTGTCACTTTATATTTTTCCAAGTCGCTCTTCCAGGGCTTCCATGATTATGGCTTATGAGTCAATAAAGAACAAAATTTTGATTACATTGTTGTGGGTTGGCATCCATCCTACTGCTAGAAGGATTTTATTCAGTATCAAAATTTGTTTTACTTCTTAGTAAACCTGATGTTTCTTTAAAACAATGCAGAGGGAGAATAATATTCAGATGGGAGGGGTAAATCGCGGAAGGACATGAGATAAAGGCGTCTTTGGCACCAGGCCCTGCCTTATTAGGAATAAAAGGATCCTCAAAGATACCTTTAAAGTATTTTATTCAAGTGGCATAAATACAAGTAAGCAAAGTAAAAGGAGGCTTAAGCTCCACACAACAGCCGCACTTATAGGTTTATCTGCATATCCATTAATTTTGATATGTAATGACAAAATTAAAAATCTTACTATATCTTGTTAGCAGCTTATTGCTCTTGGAATGAACTCAATTTTATCAAATATTATTAATTATATTAAGTAGTAGTTTTCTTTCCAATCTAAAATTAATGAAATACAAAATTTATTAAAATAATTTTAAAATCACAAAAATTTTGGGTAAAAGAATCGTTTTTATTTAAAATGCTTTTGTTTTTTTTATAGTATTCTGGATTCCAGCAAACAGCAGAAAAATGTGCAATATGTGGGCATCTCATCATGGAAATGGTAATTAATTGAATTATATTTTTCAAAATTGTTTCAACCTACCATTTTTAGCTAATTATTAAATTATTAAGCTAAGTCTTGCGAATTAAAAAAAAAAATTATGGGTTGTCAATGATGTTACACATGACATATTTATACTATAATACAGTATACTTTCAAGATATACAGTAATTTCATTACTGCTCTTGAAAGTTAGTGTACATTGAAAATCTGAATCTATTAACCTAGTAAATAAACTGAAATCACATAGATTGTGAGGTCTATCATATTTAGTATGAAGTTTGTTAATATTTATCTTCCTTTTCACTTAGATCCTCCAGGCAATGGGCAAGTCTTATCACCCTGGCTGTTTCCGTTGCTGCATGTGTAATGAATGCCTTGACGGTGTTCCATTCACTGTTGACGTGGACAACAAGATATATTGTGTTAATGATTATCACAGGTAAACAATACTATTACTGCATTAAATTTTGTAATATGAATATTTGTAATTTTGATCAATATTAAATAATTGTATGCTACTGTTTTGTGTTAATTATAATTTTCAAATATCAAATGTATAAGGGATAAAGATAGCTGTCTAATGTGAGAGTTTCGCTGTGGTATGTTTGTATGGGTTTATTGTAGTTGTTAATTTCAATCAAATAAGAAAAAGAAAATTTAATTATCTGCCCAGTAAATTTGATATATCTTCATCATTACTTCTATTGGTGACAAAATTTATTTCAAGGCTAGTAATTCATCATTTGAAATAAAATCTTATGTGGACAAGCCATTTAACACTCCGAAGGTCGCCGAGCAGTCTATTTGATGTGTTTTTATACCCCTTGGGGGAGGAGGACACACCCTCTCTCCAAGTATTCTCCTGGCTCTTTCAAGTCTCTGAAGTCTTTCAATCCAGTTGTTGAGTGACCTGTGTTGCGTAAAATTTCTGTGCCAAAACTTGAAGATTGACTGTATATTTAGAAATTTGATAAAATTGAAATCAAAGCCTTTATTGGGTTGTTATATATTGCAGGTATGTATTAAGCCATGAAAAATAATCTGGATTATTTGTGAGATTCAAAATCTTTTATCCCACTATGGGTGTACGAATGTTTCGATTTTTACTTCGATCTCTAGGATTTGACAACCGAGAAAAATGTCAATAATGTAAAGAAATAGGCCACCTGTCACCTCTCCGGGACATATTTGAAGTGTTTGTCAGAAACTGCCAATCTTGTTATTCAGTTGGAGCAGACGTGACTATCGATGAGAAGTTGAGCCTTTAGAGGCTGATGTTCATGTTTGTATTAATTATTCTTGTGTCCAATTTAATCTTATTACACTGACAGGCAAAAAATTCTACCCACTTAATTTTTTCATGTTTTCATCTAAAAATATTTCTGCTTTGGGTTGGTCTATTGTTTTTAATGAATAAATAGCTAGTCTTTTTGTTTGTTTTCAATTAGGAATGTTAATATAGAGGACAATAACCCTTAATCCTGAATTCAATGAAATTCTAGATTCCAATGTTTACTTTCTATGGAATCAAAATGTTTATTCAGTATCATTAGTTCAGTGCCGTTTCTTGCAGCACATTTCTTAGCCTCCGGCTTTTAATTTTTTCAATATTAAGTTTAAAAATGCCTCTTAGAACTGAGGATGTTGCGCGTGGTGTGGAGCTTATTGATGATGGACGTTCCATTAGATATGCAGCTAATGCCATCGGAGTTCCATATGAAACTTTACGAGACGCCGTCAGGCGTTTTCGGGAAACTGGTTCTTACAATAGAAGGCCCGGTTCTGGACGGCCTAGGGTAACAGAACCACGGGATGACCAGTTTTTGACTTTGAGAATTTTACGAAACCGGCACCTTACCGTTGTTCAAGCGATTCATCAGCTCGAAGAAGTTCGAAGTGTGCAAATTTCTGAACGTACCGCTCGGAGAAGATTAAATGAGTATGGATTAATGGCTTTTCGTCCAGTAAGAGGACCAGAGTTGACCAGAACTCACAGAGTAACACGGCTGGCTTTTGCTCGAGAACACAGCCATTGGACTATGGACGAATGTAGTGCTGTACTTTTTACAGATGAGTCAAGATTCGCTCTTCGATCTCCAGATGTGCGTGAAAGGGTGTGGAGAAGAAGAAACGTTTTCCCAGAGCCAACCTTTCCAATGTAGTTCCTTAATGGTGTGGGCTGGGATTTCAATGGAGCGCAGAATTGGTTGTTGTTCATGAAGGGTCTTTGACAGTCATTCGCTATGTAGATGAGATTTTGAAACCTCACGTGTTACCTATCCTCAACTAAATCGGCAACCATTCTATTCTAATGCACGATAATGCACGCCCACATGTCGCCCGCATAGTGCAGACGTTCCTTCAACAGAACAATATTGAGCTTTTAGCCTGGCCAGCACGTTCTCCAGATTTGAACCCCATTGAGCATTTATGGGATAACCTCAGAAGACGAATAAGAGCGCTTACAACACTTCCTGATACACTGGACCTTTGAAAGGGCTCTTTGGAAGGAATGGGCTATCCTCCAGCAAAGGGACATTTCCCGACTGGTGGAAAGTATGCCGAGGCGTCTTCAAGAAGTAGTGAAGGCAAGAGGAGGAAACACGCGCTACTAAACGATGATGTAATTAATTTCTTTTAGAATAATAATGGTTCATTTTTCAATTTTTTTTTCTCTAATCTTTCTTACCCAATCACATTTTGATTATTAAAGGTAAAAAAGATTATAAAATTCCATAAATACTAAGTATTATCTACAAATACCATGTATTATATACAAATACAACTTTTTTTACAAGTGGATGAAATATTTTTAGATGAAAATATGAAAAAATCTAGTGGGTGGAATTTTTTGCCTGTCAGTGTATAATTGTTCCTAGTATTCAGTGATTGTTGTGTTCGTATTTAATGGTATACAGAACTTAAAGTTTCCTAATTTTGTTAACGTATTTTTTGTTTTGATTTTTAATATATTTTTAAAATTATGTAACTGAGTTTTTTACTCTATAGATATTTTTAAAAGCTCATCTTATATATTTTTCTTTCAGTATAATGAGAAATTGGTTGGTATTTTAGATCAATAAATTGATTTAGCATAGTGGATCTCACAGATCCATAGTGATTTTCCATGTGTCTCTAAGGCTAGCGACCTTTGGAGTGTTAAGTTTTTAAAAAAAAATGCATTTACTCTTGTGAAACTACAAAAGTAGTTGATTGACACTGGTCTCGTATTTCTCCTCCATTTTGGTCAAATCAAATATGCCATTTTTTAAATATAGGTGTGTTGAGGAAAATATGTTATGTTTATGAATAAATGATAGTGATTGATGGAATTTGATAAGATTCCATCTAGGTACAAAAATCCACAATCCCTGAAAATTTCATCTATATTGGATTAGTGCACTTATGTGTTATGTTCTTCACATACAGACATAGAACCAGTTTTTTTTTTCTATTTTCTGCATGGATGCAAAGCTTCCCTCACCTTCGGTTGTGAAAAAAATCAGAAAAGAATATTCTATTTTTAGTATAATAAATGTTAATCTTATATTATCTGCACATTTGATCTGTTATTGCTTATTTAAATTTTCTGCATGATTGGGTGCTGGCTTATGAAACAGCATGCTGTTAGTAGTACTTAAACAAGAATAATCTTTTATTCTTGTTTGAATTAATGTTAGTGCCTTTGTTAAAAGGTAGGACTGATATTTTTATATTTTCATGTTGACTTTGAATCGTGCAGTTAGCTATAATTTAGTCATTGTTTCAGTATGATAATCCTAGACCCCAATTTAAGTTTTTAATATTTTATAATACGCTGCAGCCCTTCTATAGACTAAGAGCTACCGACTATTTCATTTATCAGAAGGACTTAAAACTAGTAACCATTTTAAATTTTATATAAACCCCATCTGAACACAAAACTTCGGTCAGTTGGTTGAAAGCCATTGCATTATATGTGAAAATATAAATTAAAGAGGTGAAATGTGATGGTTCGTTCAACGCAAGAACATACAGCTAAAATTTTGACATGATGTCAAGAATATCTCCCTAACATAGAATTCACCTTGACTGACGATGTAATCGGTTTTGTTTTGAAAACTGATGCAAAGTCATCAAATCAAGCCAGTCAGATGGTTATTGGATGAGAAAAAAATTCAAATAGTCGGTTTCTCTTAATTTTTTTAAAATGTTTTTTTGGGATGCTGAATCTGAATTTCATGTTCCCGAAGAAATTTTTCCATTGCATTCCGAGATATATACAAAAAACAGCAAAATTTCTGAACTTTTTTTGCTTTTTATCTGAAACTATGCATTTTATGGAAATTATTATCATATCAAAAGTTTAAATAGATAAAATTTGCTATCAGTATTATATGTAGCTGTTTGATGTAGGTCCAAGGGGTAAGGAGTTAAAGAATGTTGACTGTTTGCTTATTTCACATGAAATATCTGTTTTCGTTGGTTTTTTTTTCAAACCTCATTATGTATTAATCTCTCGAAGAAATACATCATGATCAATTTGAAAGAGCATCAAATTTCCTATGTACTTCATGTAGACACCTTGATATGTGAGAAAATTAAGCGGCTGTTAAAGCACATACTACGCGTGAAATACATCTTCCATTCCATGCGCTTTAACAGCTACTTAACCCTCTCACATATTAATGAGTCTACATGAGATAAATAAGAAATTTAATGCTCTTCAAATTGATTATAATGAATTTCTTTTAGAGATTCATAGATTATGAGTTGTGGTGGGAAAACCAACAAAAACAGACATTTCTTGTGAAATAAACAAACAGTCAACATTCTCTGACTCCTCACCCCTTGGGCCTAAATCAAAAAGCTGCTTATTAAATTAATAATAAATTTTATCTACCTTAACTTTTTATATGATAATAATTTCTATAAAATGCATAGTTTCGGAGTCCAACTATTCTCTTTTAGGGACACATTCTTTACATCATATCAAAATTTCTTTAATTTAAATTTTCGCATAGAAAGCAACGGCTTTCAACCTACTGACCGAAGTTGTGTTCAAATAAGGTTTATCTAGAATTTAATATGGTTAATGTCCTATTAAATGAAATGGTCGGTAGCTCCTAGTCTACTATTTCATGATAACAGATGTTGAAAGTTTTAAGTCTCCTTATAAGGACCATATTGAGAATGAGAAAATGAAGTATTGAGATAGAAAAGACGAAGATAGTTAAAAGAATATAAGTAAGAAAAGTAAAATGGATGAATAACTAAAGAAAAATATGATTTTCCATGTTTCAACTGGACTTGATTGTTACTCAGTGACACTCTGTTGTGTCAGTTTATTTCTGAAGTTTCTGTTCTCTTATTTGATTTTGTGTTGGGGTTTCCCCTTCTCATTATCTTTCCATCTTTATGTAATTTCTTAGGAAGTCTTTTTTATGTAAACTTTCTCTTTGTTTTGCTTCTTCTAAAATCTTAGCTCAATATTTTTTTTCTTTTCTGCAGCTGTTCATCACTTCTCTTTTAGTAGCATCTTCATTATTTTGATCAGTTAATACTTTAAAACTAACCTTACATTAGTGCAATATAGTTCTTTTTATCTGTTTTTATTTACCTTTATTGTCAACATTTGTTTTTATATTAATAATTTTTTGCATGTGCCCTTAATTTATCCAATCAAAATTATATGTTTCCATCATATGATTCTAATCATGCAATGTAAATGAGTTGAATTTCTTTATCGTCTTCATTTTTTTCAATAAATTTCTCATTTATATTCCCCTTTTATTTATTTTTATTGATGGAATCTATTCTTCCAGCATGCTTTTTCCATTTATAACCATGTTGATGACATTTCTTGTTTACTATTTTGATACAAAAGAACAGAGTAGATAAAGAAATAAATGGAAAAGGGTTTTATGTTTTAATCTAGTAGTACAAAAGAAAGCATCATAATTAATAAATAGTCGCTATCTTTAGCAATCAATTTTTCCTCTTATATGTTTTTTAATGCTATGATAGTAAAAGGTATCGGGTCTTCCTATGAAATAATTGCACATAAAAACCTCCATTCCTGCTTCATCAGTTTCTATATCCATATTGTGTAAAAAGGGATATATATGTGTAAACACATATACGAATGCTGTAACCCTATCAGGGGTACTTATTTTTGATAACATACATCATCGATCAGACCTCTTTCAGTGAGCATATTAAATAATTTATGAATTATTATCAGTGGTGTTTGATCAAAAGGGTTAATGTTATAGATGTGTCCATATTGAATATTTTGTGGTATTTTAAAATTGTGTATATTATATCTGCATGAAAATTGTTTAATTTTTCTCCAATTCATTTTTGCTTACGATATATTTATTAGTTGTTATTTTTTTATGCCAAACTTGATAAAAATTTAGTGCTAAAATTTGTTTTTTGTATTGGAGCCAAACAATTTTTGTTGTTGTAAATTTCAACAACTTTCTATCCACATCTTCATTATTCCCTTCCCCTCTTTGTAGTAAATCAAATAGAAAAGAAAAAAAAATATATTATTTCTCAATATTTTGATCTACTTTACCTATTGTGATTTATTCGTCTTATGTTGTGAATTTTACATTGCCAAAATATTTTCTCATGTTGTATTTAATTTTTTTCTTAAATGAAGGGTGAAGTGGGGTAAGTGAAACAATGGGAAAAGTATGGCCAATGCTGGTTTTTATCCTAAAAAATTATTATTTTATAGAAAAAACACTTGGTTTGTCATTTTAGAACATTTTATTAAAATGTTCACCAAAGATCCTGAGAAAATCCAGCTTCTATATGTTATTCCTTTTGTTTTTTTAAAAATGCTTACATTTTCGCACTCAATGAGAGTTCGACCATGAAACTTAGACATTTTCTACTTTCAATCTAGGATAACCAAACTTTGTATTTCTATTAAGTTTGATGTGTAGTTTTCAGAAATAAACCTTATTTTGGTAATAGGTTGATTATTTAAAAAAGAGAGCCGTGACTACACTTGCTCTGTCATTTTTGCACAGGGAGACTGAGGTAAAAGTGCAACCTTCTAAGTAAATCTTTCTAGTTTGGCTAAATGTAATCAAGAAATCACACAAAAACCTGATTTTTAAATTTTACCCATTTTTCCAATCACTACCGTGTTGACTCACGAAAAAGTTCATATGCATGGGACAAGTGCAACCAGTGGAAATGAAAATTTAAAACTTTTTTTTAATTTACAGAAAATTATAAAAATATTTTAATTGCAAGATATTGTAGCCAGATAACCCTAAATACTATGGGCTGAGTTATATTTCTTTATTCCTAATAGTTACCTCACAGTAACAGTTTTTTATTTTATTTATTTAATTTTCATTAAATTTGCCACTGTGTTGTAGCGCATCAAGCATATGTGTTGAAGTTTATTCTGTCTTCTTTCAATTCTTGATATTTTTAACTTTTCAACAGAAGATCTCAAGGCCACTGTCTTTTTAGTTGTATTTGAGGCTCACCAGGTAACAGTGAGGAAGATAGAGATAGAACAAGTGGATTTGGATGGCTGAGAGTAGAAGAATGAAATGTTGTGTACTTGTTGTATATGTAGAGAGTAGAAGAATGAAATGTTGTATACTTGTTGTATATGTAGAGAGTAGAAGAATGAAATGTTGTGTACTTGTTGTATATGTAGAGAGTAGAAGAATGAAATGTTGTATACTTGTTGTATATGTAGAGAGTAGAAGAATGAAATGTTGTGTACTTGTTGTATATGTAGAGAGTAGAAGAATGAAATGTTGTATACTTGTTGTATATGTAGAGAGTAGAAGAATGAAATGTTGTGTACTTGTTGTATATGTAGAGAGTAGAAGAATGAAATGTTGTGTACTTGTTGTATATGTAGAGAGTAGAAGAATGAAATGTTGTATATTTGTTGTGTATGTAGGATTTTACTTTTGGTATGTTCATGTCTGTGTGTATGGTGTGATTTCAAATAAACCAAGGAACATTGACCAAAACCAAGTATTAAATCAAATAAACCAAGTATTTTGGATTGTGTGACTTCAATTTTGTTTGTGTGTGTTTTGCAGAACCCCAAAGTTCTGCTCCGTATGTCCAAATAGGTCTTAGTATAGTGGTGTAGATTAGTCGCTTGTTTAGTACGTTGAGTGGAGATCTGTAGTCGAAAAGATGTGACAGTTGTTTGTATCGTCTGGTCAGTTCTTGTTTTTTAAATTTATTGTGAATGTTCCAGTTGAGTTTTTGTCCAAGTATAGTCTAAGATACAACCGTACATGTGTTTTTGAGAGAACTGGTTTATTGTCTATTGTCACAGCAGGACATGAGATCTTCCTCAGGGAGAAGCTAATATGAGTTGACAGTAACAGTTTAAAAATGAAAAAATAAAATAAATCTGGTTGCATTTACCCCACTTCACCTTACCATATTTATCATTCCTTTCATTACTGTTTACACTTTTTACTTTCAGTGATGTACCCGGGCTATCTGAGTCCGGGGAATTATATTTTTTAGAATCCTAAAATCAAAAGAAGAAACATAAAATTTCTATCTTGTTAAAAAAAAGTGTGTATTTTTTTTCTATAACGGCATGCATTTAAAAAAAATGTCCTATTGTATGATCTCATCTAGTAAGTCTAAAAAATATATTTATAAAATAAACTGACTAATTTTTTATTTAAAAAACAAAACAACCTATTTTGTTTAATTAAAAAAAGGGAGTGGGGTAGCTCAGTGATAAGGTACTGAGCTTCCTATGCTAAAGGTCCCAGCTTGAATTCCGGGATCATGACAGAAAAATTATTTATTCTGTTTCATTGGCCGTGGGGTGACCCTGGGTTGGTAGAGACCCCCTCCTGGAGCACACCCAGAGGCTCTACAAAGTGGGTACCCTTAATTAAAATAATTAATTAAGGGGAAAAATCTGGCGGTAGAGTGTGATCTCGGTCAAATCACCTCATTGCACAACCGTTAGACCAAGAAACAGTGCTTTCCCTAAATAGTACTGAACCCAAGACCTTTCATGGGTTGTAGTGGTACAGGTTTAATTTAAAAAATAAAAGGAAGTAGGGACTGGAGTGGACTTCTCCCTTCCCAAGAACACCACTGCCTTCCTTATTATTTAAATTACTATATTCATGGTTATTTCATTTGGTATATGTCATTGTGATTTTTTAAAATAACCTCAATTAAAAATAATAAATTATAGTGCTACATACTGTGATGAAGATATGCAAAGTAGGTTGTGATGTTGCCTTTCAATAAATAGTTCTTTTTTAACTAGATCTTGATAAACCTTGCCATAATTATATTTTAATAATTTAGTCTTAAAAATCGATACTCTTTTGAGACATGAGGATTGTTTAGATAACTAGGTTTGAGAGATATTAAAGTAATAATTTGGTTATACTGATGCATTTTAATAGACCTGATTTTTTTCATTGGTTATAAAAGTATGACTTAAAACTTAATTAGATTCATTATATTATTGCATGAAAACTGAAATTAAAACTTAGTGCTATGCTGTAACATCTTCACGTTCCCATATAAAAGTATTATTTTATTTAAGATATTTTCTTATTTCTATACCTAATAAGGTTATTTAATCTGTTTGAAATTTCGACAAATATTTTATATCATATAATTGTTTTATAACTTGAAGTCCATAGTACAGACCCCTTTTTATCAAATTATTAATATCCGTCTTAAACTTCATAAATGGCTTCACCTTAAGCTACAACTTTTTCATCTACGAAAATTCTCAGAAATGGGGTAGTTTCTCATTAAATTAATTATTTTAATTTGCTTTTCATTTGAATTTTAAGCTAATTTGATAACAAAATTGAAATAAAAAAAGGAGCATACAAAAATATTTGGGATGGAGCTCACGCCATACAGCCATATCTTTGTAGGCTACCTTTTTTCTCGCTATTATGATCAAATTACCTTACGATTCGAATGAAAAGCAAATGGGTGTTCATGAGTTTTAGTATTTAATTAAATAGACAAAGTTTGCCCAATCTTCACATTGAAAATGCCCCCATTCCGAGAATTTTCTTGGTTGAGAGGAAGTTATTCGCAAAGGTTCAGCCGGTTGTTAATAATTTGATAAAAAGACGTGTGTACCATGGACTATTATATGCACTGTTATGATGATTCTGTTTTTTGACCAATTATTTACTCTGTTTCTAATTAATAGTTAGTAGTATGATGAATTGCTTAGCACTCAATAATAACACTCAGTTTGCTACAAGTAATATATGTATTATTAATATTAGTAATATATTGGATAAAGGTTTGATTGAGTATACTAACATGGGTTGGTGGTCTTTTCCAGAATGTTTGCTCCAAAGTGCGCAGCCTGTGGTAAAGGCATCACACCAGTTGAGGTAGATAACCCTTTCGTTAACACAGACTTTTCTTCTTGTTTCTTTTTAAATTATTTAAAACTATAATTTTTTTTTCAAAATGTTGATTATAATATTTCAAGCAACGTTTAACTGATTATATAATAATTTAGTAATGAGAGAGTGTGTAAGGATGTAAGGTACATTCAGACAAAAATGAAATCATATCTAATTCATCTAGGAGACTGAATTTTAATGTCAACTTGATTGATGGATTAGACATGACTTGATAGGTTGATATCCTTGGTTTGAATGCATCCTCATGGGTAAAAAATCTATGAGATCTATGCTTTATAACTTCTTTAATCATCTATAAATAAAAAGATTTAATAAATTTTGGATTTTAGTGATAAATGTTTGTTTGTTATAAAAAATAATTAATTTTTCCAATAAAAAAATGTAAGTTGAGAAGGGGTTAGTCGAGGGTGCGGTCAAATAAATAATAAATTAAAATATATTAATTATTTTAATTTTTGCCGATGTTTTGACCCATTTTGCAGGTCGTCTTCAGGGCTACAAAAGATACAAAACATGTTGAAAATAAAAAATAAATATAAGTATATATAAAATAAGAAGAAGTTGTCAGATACAGAAATAAATGATGGTATCAGAGATATAGTGGGTGACAATGTAGTTAAATATTAAGAATTATATATGTAGAAGATACAAATAAATGGAAAATAAGTATGAATAAAAATAAAAATAAAGGAGAATATAGATTGTAAGTTAAAAGTACACAGATTGCGAAGGAAAAGGAATAAGTGTATAACACACTAATAGAGATTACATTAGATAACTGTGGGTTAACAGATAAAAAAAATAAATATATGAATATTAACGAATAAATAGATTGAAAATTGAATAAGTATTGTTACAGTAAAATTAAAATAAGGATAAAATAACATAATAACAAGATATCAGTGGATGACAAGCAAGTGGAGGTTACCTTTAATTGTAAGGAAACAGATAACGGGACTAAAGGTTAATTATTCTTAGAGTATTCTTAATATTTAACTACATTGTCACCCACTATATCTCTGATACCATCTTTTATTTCTGTATCTGACAACTTCTTCTTATTTTATATATACTTATATTTATTTTTTATTTTCAACATGTTTTGTATCTTTAGTAGCCCTGAAGACGGACCTGCAAAGTGGGTCGAAACGTCGGCAAAAATTAAAATAATTAATATATTTTAATTTATTATTTATTTGACTGCACCCTCGACTAACTCCTTCTTATATTATATCAACGGTCAACCATCTCTACATCATTAAAAAAATGTAAGGTTTATTTTTGTTAATGAAATTTTTTAATATATATCTGTGTACGTAAAGAGATGATATAATATTACGAATTATAAAACATTATCTCTTTGAACTTCTTGAATATTTAAAAAAAAATATTTTATTAACAATCCATTTCATTATTTTGTTATGTTTCAGACTTTTTTTATTATCACGATAGTGTACAATAAAATGTTTCAGCAGTGGACACTTTCAGAGTGCCTGCAGCTGAAACTCTGCTATACAGATCTTGGTTTCAGAGAAATTGGAATTAAAACATGATAACAAGTCATAAAAATGAAATAATATATTTTAAAAACATTTTTCTTTTTAACTTCACAATGTAAATATATCGTTATGAGAAATAATGTACTTTTTGTAATAAAAGTACAAATATGAAACGTAAAATATCTACATTTAAAAAAAAAAAAATCCATTCCTAGAATTATAGAATAACTATTTTGTCTTCTGAATTGGTTTGGATAGATAAAATTAGTACAACTCTTTCACCATTTTCATTTGGGATTCACAAGACTCAAGAGATCATGAAAAGGTATTTTCAGATCACAGATGCATTGCGAGTATTCTTTTCGTTGTTTAAAATGTCACACACCAATTTTTAATCGCATATCTAAATTGTGGAAACTAATTTTTTCTTTGTAATTTAACCGGAAGAGAGTTGACAATCAAATTTGTTGATCTAACAATAAAAGGTTAAAACTGTAACCGCTATTACAACCCTATTTCCAGTACACATAATTGAACCAAGTTACTTTAAATTAGATGAGGATTATGAAATTGTTCCCTATCTCTTCAACGGGAAGTTGCATTATATTTCATATATAGTATGTACATATAAAATAGAACATTTGAAAATGACTCATATAAAAAGGAGTCCGAAGTCTTACAATATAATCATGATGTATTGTTGATAAAAATGCTTGTACAAGCAATTATTTTATTGATAAATCAGAGTAGGATTATCAGTGATTCTGTTTTTCCTTAGTCTATTACTGATTAATTTTTATAAATATGTTTCTAAATATATCTCTATGTGTTATTAAATGAATAAAATGAAAAAAAAAAAGTGTTTATTATTCATTTTATTATAAAATGAACTGAATTTATTTTATATTTCTAATCGTTTAAACTATTTAGGCATGGATATTTAAGGATCATTTACAAGAGTTCCACATTCCAAACAAGAAATATTATTGTAATGTTTTTTCAGGGTACTGAAGAGACAGTTAGAGTAGTGTCCATGGACAAGGATTTCCATGTAGATTGCTATATTTGTGAGGTAAATATATATCTTCCTTTATTGTTATTAGGACTAATTCAGACATACATTTTTATTCTTTCTTGATATTATAGAAGTAACTCAAGTAGACTTGCTAATCTGAACAATCTGATTACAGGAATGTGGTATGCAGCTGACCGACGAACCCGACAAAAGGTGCTATCCCCTGAACGGACATCTTATGTGTCGAGCTTGCCACCTCCAGCACCTGCAACAGTCGCCTCGGCTGCAGCCTTCGATGCATTAACCTCCCAAAACTTATTGATATTTTTCTGCATTTATTTATTTATCTATTTGTATATTTTTTGCGGCATTATGTATATTTGTAGAGATTAGTTTTATTGGAGACTGCTTGCTTTCCTCTATTCTGAGAACTTCATAAAAGACAAATTTTTGCTGAATCTGAAATTGTAATTCAATTTTGGAGCTGTACTTTTTTTTTTTGTTTTTAATATTTTTGAAAATTATATGATGTTTCAACAAACTTTTTTAGATTTAAGTTAGGTAGGTACTTGACGTAACATGTTAAATGTAAGTTTAACTGATGTGATAACTTATAATTTATAAACTTAGATTATTTACATTTATAAGAAATTTAGTGATCGATTTAATAAGTATGTGCTTTCAAATTATATTGTTAGTTTTGAAAAGTTAAACTATCCTCATACTAAGATATTCATTGTGTGCTAAAAGAAATACTTTCCATAGTTTTATAGAATTATATGATAAAATGTTTATATTTTAATCTGTAACTTCTTCACAGTTATGTACTTATAATTTGATTAAAGATATTCTATTAGTTTTAAGAATATGGTGTATTACTAGTAATGATCTTATGGTTGAACGTAAACTATTTTAGGAAACTTTGGAAAACATATCTTTTAGCAAGAAAAAAATATATATTTAGTATTGCCTTACCTCTAGGCTCAAGCATAGGCATTTATAATACTCTTTTTGAACAATACTTTGACACTCTATAACGATAGGAGCCTTTCTTCCTTAAACTAATAAATTTTAAATTTTTGCTAGAATTATATTGAAGTAATACTCTGTTATTTACCTGTACCTATTATTTTAAATTAGAGGCTACCTTGATTAAAAGTAAGATCTGCAGTTAAGAATTATGGATGCTCAGGCAGCCTTGAACAAACCTTGGGATTTAGAAGTCTCACTTTTATTCCTTATACTGAAGTGTAGGTTTTGAATTAATTTTTATCTTACAAGTGAAACAAAATTAAATATAAAAATTAGCAATTTTTTTTTTAGTCCAAAGTTAACAATACTGAAGTATGGTGTTGAATGAGATGTTAAAAGATATATATTGAGCATTAAAATTCATATTAAAAAAATAATATTACTGTAAAATAATGTAGAGTACTACTTATAAAATTTAATAGAATTTTTTATTGTTAAATGTTCTTGAAAAATATTCCATATGGTTTACAGATATTAAATTATGTTTAATTCCCATTTATTTATACAATTATACACCAAGCTTTTTTATATCATTAAAATTTGCAACTGAATAACGGGTCATCTATCATAATTGTATTATCAAATATTTTGTTTTATAAAATGTATTTCATGTATACTATTATTATAATAATATTGGGATTTAGATTTTTTTCTTTGAACAAAAAACAACCAAAATTGAAAAGCATTTTTAAATTGTTGGATACCTGCTGAAATTGATCTGTTGACGAAAGTACTAGATATTGTGATGTACTTATTAAAGCTAGATATTTGATTTCTTTTTTTTTTTCTTTATCATATATAATAAAACCTACCTTTTTTCACCCAATTTTTAAATAATATTTGAAACTATTTAATTTCTATTTTAAATCTAATGTAGACTCAAGATTGTTTTTATTGATGGTAACACAGCAATATGTCCTAACCCTAAATGTTGACAACCTTTTATTTATTTATATAAATATTTTTTTTTTTTTCATTTTAATACTAACCTAGGGTAAACCAGACAGTTATTAACCAACTTAATATAAAAAATAAAGCTTATGTGTAAACTTCTAGTTTAAAAAAAAGGGGGAAAAATACCTCATCGCTACTGTTAGTGCAAAAGATTTTATGTAAAAATTGAGTTTTTTATGGAAGAACATAAATACCTATTATTTCTTTATGATTTGTTTGTAAAATTTCATATTCCCTCTGCTATGTTCCATAGTAGCTGACTACAAAATGCCTTCTTTAGCACAAATAGAACAAACGTGTAAATTGTTACATACCTTTTGCACTGACAGTAGCGTTGTAAATCATAGAAATCAGCTGTAAAATCAAAGATTTTTTAACTGTAAACATATAAAAAGGTTATTTAACAATGATTGAAGAGTGTTTGATTGGCAATAACCATTTTGCACTATTTTTCTCATTAAATTGCAAAAATTTCCATGGATATTTTTTATAAGAGAATTTTAAAAAATGAATTTATCTTAATTGCATTAAGGGTATCAGTAGCTGTCTTGTTTTAACATACCAATAGTAAAGAAGTATAAACAAGGCATAATTAAAGAGTTTGAAATCTTAATTCATAAATCTATATATAAATTTACTTCAAGAAAATTAAACATGATTTTCTTCTTATCCAAAACTAATACTAGGATGCGAAATATAAAGACGAACCATTGAGGACTAAATCCTATTTTTACTAGTATTGCAGAGTAAGTAAAGTCATTTTAATATATTCCTAACAATATTAATTCAAACTAAATTCAATCATTGCATATATCAAGCAATAACCGGACAAATATGGTAGACAGAGGTGGACTCATATGGTACTTAGTTGAAACCAGACCTGGGAAAAAGTTTATGTTAAAATGCAAAGTATTTTGTGTTTCTAAAATACAATTTTAAATCACCAAATATTTAAGTTGTTTACAGAAAAAGTACTTTGTTTTTTAAATTTAAATAATTAAGGGAATTAATTTAAATACAAAGTGATTAAAATTATATTTTAGAAAAACAAAATACTTACTTATAGACCAGGTCTGATCGAAACTTAATCCTGTTAGAGATCAAGATCAGGTTTATTATAAATAGTATTTATTATTTGAAATATCTATTTATAATAAATAATAACCTTAAGCATGTCTTTATCTCCATAACAGTAATTTCGAATTATTGATTTCCAACGATATATTGGGCCTAAGCTTCACTTTAATGAGCATACGTTAACTTCCAGTAATTCATTCTGAATTAATAATACTGGCACTAATAATTTATAAATAAAACAAATGAAAATAAATATAGTTATTCTATTGAGAAATAAAATAAGAAACTAAATGGTTGTGATCATTTTGTTTACTGTTGACAAGTTTAAAATATATTCTTGAAATTCTGGTTATTACTTGTGAAAAGTTAATTATTTCTTACTTGTAGATTATTAATATTTAGTAATAATTAATGATATCTTGAAATTAAACTTGTATTAACTATAAAACATTAATGTAAATTTAGCAGCTGCATGTTAATTATAGAAGTTTTAACTCTAATCCATACTTCATAAATTCTTAGAAATTTAATTATAATAATAGTAAGGAAAGAATAAAATTTATAATTTATTTGAATATTTTTTATGGGTTATTTATTCGATACGGCATTTTAAATGGTGCTTTAAAAGACAAGTTCTGGTTTGATAATTAGGATTCTGCTGCCTTTATATTGAGATTAATTTTCAAATTTTTTTAAAGTTTTGTATGGCTTATTTGCATTGACACGAATAAAATTTACAGTTAAAGTTTAATTTTAATATGTGATGTGCTATTATATTTTATAGCGTTTTAGTGTGCATGATCAATTTTGAAGGGAAAAGATTTATTTTCTCTATGTAGCCGGCAACTTATACTACAAAGTTGTGTTATCCAACCCTGTTGAGAAGAAATACTTCGGGCTCAATAGTACTAAACATTAGTGCCATTTTAGCTACAAGTGATTGACATAAAAAATAATTTATTATTAGTATTGCACAATATTTTTCAAATTTTAACTTTTTTTCAAACAAAATTCGTGATTTTAAGACTTATTTTTTTAATTGTAGGATTGAAATGATAATCGGCTAATGAACTGGTACACACAATTGAAAAAAAAAATAAGATGGAGCCTATTTGACAAGGTCTAAAGTTATGTAGAAAGAGAAAGCTGAACTATAGCCTTCTGGCCTATGCTCCGCCTACAAGGTTCTTTTTTAAGTTGTTCGCCTATAACTATATTTATATTATATAAATACTATAATGTAAAATATCTATAACATAATGAAGAAGAAATATGATTTTGTAATTTTATCAATTTAATAATGAATACAATTTATTTATGTTAATAGTTCTGTTATTGAAATTTAGTGGGTTAAATAAATAAAACAACAAAGTTTTCAATGAATCAATATTATGGACATCAAGTATGACATGTTCACTTACATAAAAGTAAATATTAAGCATTAATTAAACATATTCGATTATAAAAACTAAATTTATGATTGGATATGTAACTTATAATATTAAAAAGTAATTGTAATCTTGGTTGAAATAATTTAATTTCAGATGTATTGTATATTAAATAACCTGATTTATCTTTAGATAGATTAATTCAATGTCACATTCACTGATTAATAGTATTTTATACTTTAAGATTTGTGATATTTTCTTCTACTGTTATTTTGTCATGTTTCTGTTGATTAAATTTTTCTTTAGTTACTTGTCTTGTAATTATCTCCCCTCCCCTTAATGAAAATCTATTTTATAAATTGTGTAATACTTTTTAAATTTAACCTTTTAGCATAGGGTAATAATAGTAATAATCAAATTATAAATTTACTTTTCAAGTGAAGAGGTATTGTCCCAAGAACAGCTTTAATTACTGAGAAAAATAAAAAAAAAACAAGCTGCATCATTTAATCACCTTCTTAATTGATTCTGTTTAGATAAGGTCTTAAGTTAACTAACAGTCTGCCATATCAAGGTTCGTAAAGCAAGACAATGTAATTTTGTAACCCACAGATAATATTTTCATATTTTACAATATAAGGGTTAGATTTTATCTTTATATATAACTGGCCTTTCAGAGGCCAATGATATAAAAATAAAAAAGTCATTTCACCTCAAAACATTCAATACATTATAGATTGCCTTTTGGTTTTAAAGAAATTATGAAAATGTATTTTCAGAAAGAAAAAAGCGCACTACCTTCAGGTCCACTAAAAAAAGCTTTGAACTGTTTATATCTTACAAAATATAACATGATACTCAGCATTTTTTTATTGACATTGTAGTTTATTTTAGATAACAATTTTTCATTGTAGATAAAATTATTCTTCCAAGTTTGATCTCATCCTACTTCATTTTCACCAAATACTTTTTAAAGAAATTCCTTTTAGGATACTTAACAAAAATTGAAGCTTAAACAAATTTGAAATTACAAAATTAGTG